AGATATTCTGAGCAAACAAAACCACATACAATGTCAGTGACAATACTGAGATAAAAACCTCAGGCACTGGCATCTTAACAGATGTTGTACTGCAAAAGCTACCTGTGCTGCACTCCCATCTAGATGTACAGATATGATTTAGCAGTGCTTCAGCTCAGGATAACATTTGAAAGGGCACTTTAAAGAACACTGCACTATTTGCCTACTGCATGGTACATTACTGTAGTGACAAGGCCTGCATTTCAGATCAGCACTGCAACATGTGTCTTCATATGGGGTGTAAGGTCAAATTCAGCCCTGAAAATCAGTATCCTTTATCCAGGCTTTCATGTCCACCAACAGCTTACAGAATGACAGGAAGGAAATATCTGTGGAGGACAGCTCTGAAATCTGAATTTTAGTGAGACATAGAATTGTTAAATTAAAACAAGTTAAATTAAGACAGAGGCCTTTCTAGCTAATGGTTTGGGTGATCCTATTTGCCATTAAAGAGCTTTCATCAGCTCTGCTGGCTTTGGGATTTCCAAATTCATCGCCATCAAGAGGGCACAACTGAGTCTTAGACATTCCTCACAAAGCTAGAGAAATGTATGTGAAAGTGAAGTGCTTTATGTCAGTTCTAAGAAGAAATTTCCCTGCATTTCCAATATTGCATTTCAAGCCCCCACATTGCAAAAGCTGAGAAGTTTTGCAAAAGCAGCCTGACAGCTCGAGTTTGGCATCAAAGGGCATCTCTCAAGTTTCTAAAGGAGCATCTAAATCTTTAGATGAACATTCCTATTTAGCATTAACAATGTTACCGTGACCCTCAGAGGACTACATAATGAAGCAAGAGCAAGTCTGTCAATAGTTCCTTGCTAGCTTATTTTTCTTAATTTCTGAGTGTGATTCTAATCGACAAAGATGATCTCCATACATTACACCAAATTGGCACCTGTTTAAGGGACCAGTCCCAGTCAGATCATCCCATTTACTTCCCAGAGCCTGCTGTACCTCAGATGCTATTTGCATTATGATACCCATTTCATTCAAGTGCCGGACCAAAACCTCTATTAAATGTGTCTCATTCAAACGAGTCCTCACAACACAGGCTTTTGTGAAAAGTAGGGCTACACAACTTCATCATAAAACAGTGTCAAGCAGCAAAAAACAATCAGTTTCACTGGGTTTATTTTTAAGTTCTGTTCTTATACCTGATTGCTCATAATTGAAAAGGTAGTCATATCTGCATTCTTGCCTCCACCAATAAGACACTTTATTTTCTCACTATTCTGAAGCACTCCCCAAGCTTCTGCTAATAATTTTGCTTGACCTTTATTAAAGACCAAGCATTAGTTGGCAATTAGATTTGGTGATCCCTTGGGTGATTGAGGCTCAGTGATTTACTGTAAATTATAAGTAGTTCAAATGTTTCATTATGTTTATTCTTTATACAAGCTTTGTGGCCAGGTAAGCGCTGACATGACATTCACTGTTAAATGATCTCATTAAACTTCTTAATTTAAGTGGTGCAACACTTCACCTGCCACATTATCCAAGGACTCCTGCAATCCACATTAAACATTCAGCATGAATAGATGCTCTACCATAGTTCACCTTGTTGGGAGTGAAATTTCAGTCCCTGAACATAAGGTTGACTACTTGATGCTGTTTGTCAGAGACAATAAATAATGCAAATAGATACCCATGTAAAGTAAGAGGTTAAAGACATCAATAGCTTTCCCACAGGGTTTTGAAATAGGCTCTCAAAAGAAACGACTTCAAATAAGTAAAAAACACCACTAAAATTTAAAAAGTTAAGGAAAAGGAAGGAAGGTGCTGGTTTCTTTCATTTCTTTATGAATTCAATGACTGTGAGAGATATTTCTTGAGAACTCTGGAAGCATGTGCTCCTTTTTCATTCACAAGCCCAGGGCAAAAGGAGGGGCAGTTGCGCAACCTCCCACCTCAGAGTTTCTTGTGGAGGTTTGTCTTTAGCCATTTCATCCCTCGTTTTCCTGCTGAGAATGTTTAACAGAGCTGAATGGAGTCAAGGTTGGATAATGCACCACATTATTTCACTTAGGCCAATAAATAGCACATTGCTTCATGACTAAAGGGAAACACAGAATTTTGGTTGAAGGCATCTTCACATCCAGACTATTACCCAGTGATTTCTACTGCAGTAACAAGGAGAGGCACATGGATTAGGACCTCCTTTGTGCCAGGTGCTGGACCTACAGACCCCACAAACAAAGCATTCAGCCGTGAGGGAGAATAATAGGGGTATCTGAATTTTCCTTGTCTGCATATGTTTTGTTTTCCACATTTTTAACTGTTTCCTTCATAAAATGAATAGTTCTAATATTTTTTTCCCCTGCACCTTTAAATAGTATGATCCTTAACATCTGCTTCTGGACATCTCTTCTGAAGGATGAAGGGCTCCTAGCAATTCTACTGCAGCCCATGAACATACCAGACTGCTCCCTGGACAGATTTAGGCTTCATCATATAGTATTAACCTCATATACTGAATATGTTTTTCTGACTTAGAAGGCTGGATTAGCTTTTATTATCAGAAGAGAAGTAGTAAAGGTTTCAGTGTTACAGATGGAATGGCAGATGGGAAGCAAAAGCTTAGTATGAAGCAGCTCTGGATAAAAACTATTAATCCACAAAATTCATATGTTGTTATGCAGGGAAACCTAGCAAAACCCACTGCAATATGACTAACCAGTGAGAGAAGCATAAACTAAACCTAGCCCATTATTTGACAAATCATGGCATGAAGTCTGAAACAAGAATAAAAAAAACCCTCAGAAAATGCAGTGGACTCATATATGTATTTGATGAGATAACATTTTCCAGGGTTTATAGCTGTAATACTCCATATTAAAAAAATTCTAACCATACTTATAAGTCACTGTCATTGAAGTCGCAGTGCTAAAAAAGGCTTCTTACTTTTTGTTGAAGAGCATCATGGTGTGAAGAGAAAGCACATCTCCCTTCAGTTCTGGTAACAGAATACTCTGACAGAAAGGAAAGGGAGCGCTTGAGGTGCTGCCTGGCTGGTGAGAGCCCACCACACAGCTCTGAGAGCAGCTGCAGTGGAGAACCACGACCTTCAAGAGCTCCCTCCCTGAAGAAATGAGCGTCTGGAATCTCTCCAGCTGAATAAGACTTGTTCAGAGCTTGAATGACTGCAAGATGCCACGGCATTATTACAAAGAATCCATTAACACTGAACTGACTACACTCTACTCAGCAAATCCTGTGATTGTTTACGGCCATATCTGTGAGCCACTGACCCCGTCTGGCCCTGTGGTTTGACCTAAGAACAGTTCAGACTGCCACAGGTCATGGCCTCGGCATTACACAATGGTTAGGGTGGACTCAGCACCGCAGGATAACTGGACATATCTGTTAGAACTAGTCTAGTACTACACTAGACCTTCAGCAATTTTCTCTTACAATTTATCTTACTTGATTCAAAAGTGCCATCACCTACCTCTTCCTTTATGGCCTTGCCTTAGCCCACTTTCAGCATCAATACAGCATTCCTCACCAGGAAAGTGAACGATAGGGAATAACAAGCTAGCTTTTCCCAAAACTCAGAAGATAGACAACTACCTGTTCTCCCTTACACACAAGGATAGTATGTCAAAACCATTAAGTCTGTTTCTGTTGGACGTTGAAAGTGTTAAACTCTGCTGCAATGTGATATATCATGATTTCTTAATTCAAATCCCCATGTTCTAATATCAATGCAACCTCAGTGACTTGTGCTCTTCCCTAATTTTTCCTCCCCCAAATGCACTACATTTGTCTGACAGTGCTTAGAAATGGGCACCAGCAATAAAGCCTTTTGTCAGTCCTCACAGAATCCTTTCTAAGACCTCACGTTTATTTTCATTTTTCACCTCAGTGGTGAGATTTCTGTGCAAGAAGCAGCTTCAGGAAGGGACTCATACTTTGAGAGAGATCTTGGAGAAACCTAATCTGTGGAAGTATCTTTTATATTTCTTTTCTAGGAATATTAGAACCATGCTATAACATCACTCATCAGAAAGTCACCCAAGAAAGTTACTTCCCCTTTCATCGATTTATTTCAACACAGAGGGAAACCGAAGCCTCGAGGAGAATTTCCTGTTTCCTTCTTCTTAATAGCTCTTACAACCTAAACCAAACAGTTTAAGGACACTTGGGGCTTTTCTGGGGTGGTATTTTCTGGATTTTTTGCTTTGGTTGGGTGGTTGGTTGTTTTTTCCGTTTGGTTTCAGGATTTTTTTACGGACTATCTACTTTTGCACAATGTAGTAAACTTACGGAATGAAGCTGTGAAACCTGGGTGATGTAAATCCAGAAAGAATATAATTTCACTTAAAATCACGAGCCTTATCATGTGGTTGTGTGGAAGTTCTCTGCCTGATGCCATCTGAATAAAGATATTCAGGCAACGGTTGGTGTTGAAGACATAATTGACTCCTACCTAGTTATTTGTCACTTCTACAACCCTTATCCTCCACAGAAAAAGTACTTAAAGAAGGGAGAGGAGAACATTACCTTCACTGAATCTGTATTCATACCTTTAACACTTGCTGAGACATCAAATCAAACTGTTATTCAGAGCCCTGGGAGGGAGGAATCTCTCCATGCCTGGGGTTCATTTGCTGAGCCCCAGCACTTCCTGCTACTTCACTCATCCTCTATTGCCTCTTTTGCTGGAAATACTGACTAATTAGAACAGGCCCTGAGTGAAAGTGAAGGCCCAGTGCTGGCACCCTGCTCACAGCTGCAGTCCCTCCCAAGGAAGTGGAAGACACACAGGGTACAGTAAGGTGATTGGCTGAAGTGTTGTTGTCAGACACCTGCCTCACCAAGAGGAGTCTTCTGCTATAAAACAAGAAAAACTGTCCCTCTGACTGTAGTTCTTGCAGCACAGCATGGCCATGTCATCCCTTATATCCATATTTATTTCCTTTAGGAACAAAACATGTACATTCTTCAAATGCTCATTGTACCTGATTGGGTAGTCGGCAGCACTGAGGTTAATGAAGAAATCCCATGGCCAGTCATTCATCTCCATTAAGTCCCTCATGGTCTGCAGGTAGGTGGACAGAAGACTTGCTCCTCCCCAGATAGTTGCCATTCTCCAAGAAGTGACTCTCACATTTGGGTACTGGCTGGCAAACTGGAGCACTTGTCGATGCAAGTAATTGGATCGCTTTACAGGAGAAAAAAGCAATACATTCAAGTTATTCTGTCCAAAATTTTCTCTCCCTGTATTCACTAACCACCAACCCTTACTTCCTGACTCACTGAGGGCTGCCATTGCTTTGCCCTCACTTACTATGGCACATAACCTTCTTTTGCTAAATGCTTATTTGCTAAATGTACAGAGAACCCTGTTTAATTCATTTTATTACAACTACAGTAATCACTAATCAGTGTGATTAGTTCTTATTCGTCATTTGTCATTGTAGATCCCAAAGGGCTTTCATAAAGGAGGTAAATGTTACCAGCTCCCTTTTATAGTGTGTAACTTGCCTAAGGCACCTCGGGCCACCACCTCAGTCTGCATCAACTTATTGGTTGCTGATAACTAAATGTAAAACAGACAGACATGGAGAGATACTCATTGACACAGAAGGAGAAATGAAGGCTCTTACATAGAGAGGATAACAAGAAAGAAAAATAAGAAAGAAAAAGAAGAGGCTCCAAACATATAACAGATGAAGAGACAAAAAGTGACATGCACTTTATGCAGCAGAGGTAAAGAGAAGATGAAGAAGATGACAAAGATGGGTAGACTGACAGATGGTGAGACAGGCAATTTATAACCAGTGATATATTACCTTGTCAACATGAATGTAATAAAAATGGTCTTTATGGTAAATAGCCTTAAACATGCGTTGGAGCTGCCGAGAAGCTCTGCCATGAACAACCAAGACAAATGCGATCCTGACTGGGTTGGCTGGCATGTATTCTACGGAGTCCTCATCCCACTGTACATTGTTGTTGGCTTTTCCTGTTCAAAAACAAAACACAGGACATCTCTGAGTGTATCCACGCGGCAGGGGTGCAGTGAGCAGTACACATTCCACCTCAGCCCTCTCTTCAAAAGCAGTTTCTATGGTAGAGCAAGAACTGACAAGGGGTGCCAGCCTGCACCCCATCAAGATCACACCCCTCTCCTCTGTCCCCATACAGGGCCATCACCCCGTGGGCACAGCCATGCCAGCCTTCCCCATGCAGCCCTGCCTGTGAGCCTCCTCCTGCACAAGGCTGCATGAACGTGGGCAAGTACCCAGATGTTTAAGAGTTGGACCAAGCTCTACCTGACTACACACATTTGTACCTTCAAAGGAGTCACCTCAAAGTTTCTAAGCACTCTTCAAAGCATTCAAATGATGTCAAGGCCAATATGCCCCCAAAATGAAACCCCCTCTTTGGCCAAAGCTGCTCGTTCCTCTGATCAGCACAGCTCTGCTGAGAAGCTGGTGAAACTCTGCTACTTAACAGCTGCTGAGGATTATTGACTGATAGCATTTACTTGTAACAGCAGATGTATCCTGGAACATTTAAATGGCAACTTGCATATTTTCCCTTCTTCATGTAGGAGAGGAGCTCTTACAATCGGATTTAAAATTTATGTTCATTTTTTATTTTCAAGGAGTAATTTTGGGTCCTTATTTTGTAAAGTAAATGCCACAGTGTGAGGTTCAGACAGGATATACTGATTAACTGGAGAACTGGAGGGACATTTTCAATAAGGAGTTTGAAGTGCTTTGTTTTTGGTTTGTGTAACTGCTCTTCAACTCAAAAACCTGAACTCAGTGTAAGAAAATCGCAATTTTATCCAAAAACTGACATCTATTCTTCAGTTAGTTTCTGCCCCCAGTGCCTTTTGTGATGCCCCCTTCTCCTCCTACCTCCACGTACCCCCCCTCTCAAGACTCCTTTTGCAGACACAGGAGGCTTGTCCTTGTTACAGGAAAAACTTGAGGCTGCACCTGGGCACAGTTATCAGACAGCAGGAGTACAGCCACAAAACCCACTGCACCTTCCAAAACATCTCCTACAGCTATTAAAAACACATGCTTATGTCTGTGTGATTTGACAGAAGGAACAAGAAAGAAGACATTTGCCAAGCATGAAGTGAGAGTAAGAGAGAGGGAAAACACTTTTCCACAGGTTTTTGAAACTGGAAGCATATGTTGATTAAAGTAAGCAATACCAAAAGCTTTCTTTTTTTGTTGGTTCTGTTTGTTTTCAAATGTATTAGTTACAAAACAAAGTCTGGGCACACAAAAAAGACCTTTGCTTGATCCTTCCTGTGTATCTTCTTGTTCAAAGGAATAGCATAAACTCAGAAAAAAACAGACCAACTGGAAGTTTGCAGAGCACAGTTTCAGGTGACAAAACAATTTAACCCCTTCAATTCTAATGAAATGCCCTTGAGTAACTGAAACACTTATTTTAGACAGCCATGAGACAGAGATCCTGCTGCAATGGGAACAGCACATTCCAGAGAGAAATGGTTTCAACATCTCTCATAATTCTCCCTTCAAATTCCCTCCTCCTCAGCAATGCTCCCCTAGAATGGTTTCTTCAAGTCAGAATCTGTTCTTTCCATCCTGGAGGTCCAGGAAACTGTACCTGTAAGAGGTGTTCCTCATGCCTAGAATCAGGCTCTTGGTTGGACTATGTAAGGGGCTAAAAGGCAGCTGTGTCCCTCTCCAGGAATATACACAGATACTGAACGCTAAAGAGCATACAAGGTCCCAGAGGCTCCCTGCCCCATGTAGCAGACCCTTACTGTCCACAGCCCTGCAAGGAACACCAGTCTGCAGTACTACTGCTCCTAAATTAATGAAACTTTATTGCCCCCAGTTGTATTCAGATTAGCCATTTCCAGCCCCATGAGTCACTCAGCTTCAAATGGGACACAAACAACTCGCATGGGATTTCTTTAGAAAAACCTCCACCACCAGTTCAGTAACAATCAGATGAATATTAAAAAATTAAAAAGAAACCTTTAATTTAATTTCTTCTATAATTTTCAGTTTATTATGGCCATTAGCCTTTGCCCAGTTCTATTGTTTCTCCTGAGCAGCTGATGAGCTGCCCCATGCACGTGCTTAGGATTTCTGCATGGTGACAGGGACAAAAAGGGACTCTGAGAGAAAGAAAATGTGCTTGCAAGGCGAACAGACAGGGGAATGAAGGGCAATTGCAATTGCTAAAACAAGCCATTTTTCTTTTAAACTGCTTTGATTTCAAGCTGATGATGTCCCATCAATGGACTCAAATATTTTTAGTGGTTTTCATTACATTTTTGGATACCTCTCTTCTGAAATCAGTGGTTTTCTGCAACGATATGTAGAAGGTGAGGGGAATTTAAAATAGCTATATTGCAGGTCTTTTATTTTAAACTAACTTGCCTTCAATACCCACACTATCATTTATCTAGCAATTACTGAGAACAAAATCCTCCCAAATTTTCACCTGAAATGCCACCTCACTTCATTGGCTTTCTCTAATAAATTCCTGCAGTGACTTATTTTGCTGTCTGCTGTTTTCCTCCTCTAACCTCTTCTTCCACGTGCTTCTTTCTTCCTTCTCTTTTAGGTTTAAGTTTTTATACTTTCATTTGCAACCTGCATACTATTATGACTCCTTTAATCTAATCCTTTTCTTGGCTGCTTGGAATTTCACAAAGGTAAGAATGTTATCCTTTTTCCATCTGTCAGACTATCTGCTACTTTGCTTTATACTGTCACTTCCCTGGTTTTAGCTTGTGGCTGCTTAGAACCTTTTATTTTTCAGACTGTTTCACTGATAAAGAACCAGCCTGATTTGCAAATAAGATGAAATTGGCAGGAAACATTCAACTGAGTATCTGCTTACTAAAAAATACAGTAGGACTTCAGAGCTATATGGGCAATGTTAAGACCTGAATAGCTCCATCCACCTAATTTCTATAAAACCTGTGCATACCAGAGAATTCACAGGCAGCTTCCTCGCCTCCAGCACTCCCTACTCCCAGCCTTCACAACACCTGTCACCCCTCCACACGCCATCGTCTGCCTTTCCAAGAAAAATGAGTCAGGCCAACATAGGAGAATTCCCACCTTCTTCTCTTGCACAGGTCACCTGGAGCAGTCTCAGTGGGACTGGAGCTGCACTCCATCTCACCTAGAAAGTTTCTCTGAGCGTGGGTGTTGCCCATAGAGTGAAGTTTCCTATGCCTTTAGGGAATTCCCCTTTTCTAGGAAAACTTATACCTTTCCAAAAATGAATGAGTGGGGAGAGTGAATGGAGCATCCTCTTTATGTCCATCTGGCACAGGTGAAACTGTAGCTCTGGCCTGGAAGCAGGACTTGTTGCCTTCAATTTCTTCAAAGTTTTCCATTTCATTAAACAATGGAAAAGATGGATAGAAGAGTGACTTCTCATGCTGCCTTGCTTCAGAGAAACTGCCACATGGAGCCTCAACAAAAGGGCCAGTGCTCACCTAGCTCATAACAAACATTTTCTAGCCCTTGCATCAAAGTGTATTTACTGTGCTATCCTACACTGAAGACAAACATGCCACTTTGATCTGTGATCAAATGTCTTCACAAACTTACTGAGAAAAGAGAAAGCTGCCTTTTGGCTTCCTGTTCAAAACTGAAAGGATTGGCATAAATGTGTGTTAGCAGGAAAATCCGTACCTGGTTTTGTAGATAACAGGAGAACCTCAGCTCTACTGCAATTTCAACCTGCACTTTCTAAAGCCTAGAGAAATCAATACTCATAATTAAGAGTTTAATCTTCATGCATTGCAGTATTACTAAATGCCAGAATAATGAAGATGGTGCAATCATTTTCATATTTGTTGTGATGCCACATTATGTTCAATCACCCACCAATATAACTCAGAGCCAACCTGCTAATCTCTTACTTCTACCTCTAATTAATGAGATCAGACTTCTCCAGCAGCACAAAGCAATCTTTTAATCAATTTTGTGAGCCATATTATGTTTTGTAAATCAACCCATCAAATTCTGTTCTCAGTTTTGTATTGTCCTGGATGTTCAACAGGATACCCCTGCACAGACATACCTGGATGCTGCTGACTTCATCTGAACACAGCTGTGTGTGTACACTGTGCCTTGATCCATGAATCAATGGATAGAGGACATCGGAAGAGTTATTGCTGTGTAGTTCAGCCCACTACTTACTGCTATTACATCCATAAATGCAATCAGAAGCCCTGTCATTATAGCAGGAGTATGAGCCATAATCACTCCAAAGAGGCAGAGCTCTGCAGTCCCTACTTTAACTCACAGGAGCAGCCTCATTCCCTTCAGTGGGACCACTTCTGCAAAAGCCAGATGAGTGGTAGTTGCTGAACTCAGATTTCCACTATAAACTCCTTTTCAATTGCTCACATCTCATAACAACATAGCAGGTTGAAAATTTCCAGGCTTGGCTTTCATCTGAAAATGTTTTCCATTTTGGTTAGAGCAAAAACAGTTTTGCCTTGTTTGAATGGTGACAAAACAAACAAACAAATTAAAAAAAAACCCCAAACAAACAGATAAGACAATGTTTTCATTTAGAACACACAGTTTTTTTTATCAGACCTAGTAATAGAAGCAGTTGGAGTTATATAAAAACTATAAAAAATGTCACTGAGCAATTTACCAGTGAACCATCAGAACATGATGATAAGCCTTTGTCTGAAGGCTTGATAAGAGCAACATTCATCTGTCCTGAGCCAGAACTCTTCTGGAGTTAAGGCCCAATGACCCATTACAGCAAGTGCATCACTTACCATCAGGCTCGAGAGGGAATGTTCTCCCTTGCTGCAGTCCCCTCCAGTGAGGTCACCTTACACAGGTGAGGTAACTTCTGTAGCACATTGTGTGTTAATCCTCCTTAGATCAAAGAGCAATTTTTTTCTAAGCCAGAACCTAGAAAACTATCTTTAGCAACCTTAATGCCAACTTTGGGATGCCAGTTTTCACCTCCAAAGAAATG